AATGGCAGTCAGGGTGCCATAGTCTAGCCTGTAGAGGTCTGTGCGTCCCTCCATGGATATGCCTCCCCAGACCATCACTGACCCACCACCAAAACGGTCATGCTGAAGGATGTTACAGTAAGCAATTAAGTTCTCCACACCCTTTCACGTCTGTCACATGTGCTCAGGGTGAACCTGCTCTCATCTGTGAAAAGCACAGGGCACCAGTGGTGGACCTGCCAATTCTGGTGTTCAGTGGCAAATGCTAATCGAGCTCTATAGTGCCAGGCAGTGAGCACAGGGCTCACTAGAGGACACGGGCCCTCAGGCCACCCTCATGAAGTCTGTTTCTGATTGTTTGGTCAGAGACAGACATTCACACCAGTGGCCTGCTGGAGGTCAATTTGTAGGGCTCTGGCAGTGCTCATCCTGTTCCTCCTTGCTCAAAGGAGCAGATACTGGTTCTGCTAATGGGTTAAGGACCTTCTACGGCCCTGTCCAGCTCTCCTAGAGTAACTGCCTGTCTCCTGGAATCTCCTCCATGCTCTTTAGACTGTGCTGGGAGATACAGCAAACCTTCTGGCAATGTCACATATTGATGTGCCATCCTGGAGGAGTTAGACTGCCTGTGCAACCTCTGTAGGGTCCAGGTATTGCCTCATGCTACCAGTAGTGACACTGACTCTAGCCAAATGCAAAACTAGTGAAAAACAGTCAGAAAAGATGAGTAGGCAAAAATGTCAGTTGCCTCCACCTGTAAAACCATTCCTGTTTTGGAGGTCGTCTCATTGTTGCCCATTTAGTGCACCTGTTAATTTCATTAACACCAAAACAGCTGAAACTGATTAACAACCCCCTCTGCTACTTAACTGACCAGATCAATATCCCAGGAGTTCAATTGCCTTCATGCTATACTCTGATTAAAAAGTGTTCCTTTAATATTTTTGAGCAGTGTATATCGCTGCTTACCAATCATTAGATGTGATGGCTGCATCAGTTTTCCTTGGCTTTTTTTCCCCCCTGGTAATCTGGCCAGTAACACACCTGTTGCATTAGTGTGCCCAACTCTGGATGAAATAGCACAGGGGGCACCTTGACAGCAGCATTGTCAGTCTGGAGTATACAATAACAAATTGAAGCCCAACTCCAGCTCGCACTTTTTAATCAGTTACAGCATACAGTTTTTTTCATTTTAGGATAAAGGTTTTACATGAATAAATAAAAGCAGATTATTTTAATCATCCCTGTCTGTGGTATATGGATTGTCTCATCCATGTAAACTAAAACATTCTGCTGGAGAGTTTGAACTTCTTTAAAGCAGCAGAGTTGCTGCTTAATCACCAAATCAAAATGAAAGAAGGCCTAAAAAAATGAAACTAATGCAGCCATCACATCGAAGAATTGGCAAACTGCAATATAATAAAATATTTGCTTTTGGGTTTAATGCTGCTTTAAATGTAACCTAGAAACCGTCCATCCAGAACATGACTTGCCTTAGCATAATGGGCAGTTATTAAGTTTTGCTGAAGTGCTCATATGCTAACAAGGAAGGAGCGAATAGGAGAGAGTAGAGTGATAGAGATGAGCTCCCCTGCATGCGGATTCTGCTTTTACTGTCCATTTACGGGCTGGAGAAGAGATGACTAGTGTTACCTAAAGCTGAACTAAAGTTTTTGCTGACAGGTGGGCTTTTGCCATACTGTGCCAATGAGCACATTGTGTCATTCGTAACTTACAAATGTGACCCCCCTCAGGCACCAATTGATCTATGCAGCTCCACTCCTGCCACCACCATCTCCTCTGCTGCTACTTCAAGGCCCTCCATCAAGCTTTTCGACCACTGAGTGGCCTCTGACGTTGTAACCCTTGTGTGTGCGTGCACAGAGGTTCCTGGCACCAGTAAAATAATGGGAATGAGCTGGAGTGTACACAGAAAATGAAAAACTTATGGAAGCACAAAAAAGAAGTTTTTTGACAGAAAAGACTTTGCATGTCTATTCTAACAAAAAAAACTGCCTAGTTTTTTTTATTTTTAAAGTTTAACTCCACTTTAACTGCAGCAGAAAAAAAGAGTCTTCTCTGAGCTGAGGGGCAGAGCTTTGTAAGAAGTGCATGGACTAAAACACTTATCCTATAAATGTATTTCATATGTGTATTTATCAGTTTGCCTGGAGTTCAGCTTCAAAGCTGAACAAAAAAAATTCTCTAAAGAATTCGTGAGTTAAAGTGGGAGTAAAATCCCTTGCTTGAAATGTATTTATAGGTAAGCCTGTAATAAGGCATGCCTATAGATAAAGCAAATATCTCCTAAACATGCACAGTTTAGGAGATAATTACTCCACCGGCACATGCGCTCAGAAGCCTTGTGCCGTAAAAAGCGACCCCCATGCACATGCGCGGGAGTGACGTCATCGTGCCTCGGCCATTCATACCACCGAAGAGTGCGATCAAACACCACTGATCGCTCAGTTCTCCCAGCCCCTCTGAGCAGAGAGCGATGACTGCTTAGTCACCCCTGCTCCCCCCCCCCCCCCCCCCAGCAGTGAGCCGGGCTGCGGAGGGTGGGAGCAGCTGGCTCAGCCTCTTAGCAGTTGGCTGAGAGGCTGAGCCAGGTGCCAGTCCGGACTCCTGGGTGGATCCCAACCAAGTGCTCATTATCTTCCCTCACCTGGACCAGCTTTGTGATGTCAGCTAACACAGGAGTGCAGAACGAACTGCACTCCTGTGATCCACAGGAGACATGCAGCCAAACAAGCTTTGGCTGTACTTTACCTTTAACGTACCTACAATGAAGTATGTCCCACATTGTTCGGGCAGCTAGATCCTTTAAAAATCTTCACTGCAATGATGCCCCATCATATTCCAGTCTCCGTACTTCCAGTACTACAGGGGTAGTACTGCCTCAGGACCCTCCCTTTCCTTTTTTTTTATGGAGAAAATGCTGAGGAATCGCCATCATTAAGAAATGTTCTTAAAATGTGTTCACTGCTTACAACACAATCTGTGAATAGGGGGGGAGAGAATGCTGTGACTCACCAGACTTTCCTCCATTCACAAATCCTGTGTAGGCATTAAAAAGCAATGTAAGGAGAGGGAAGGAGGGGGTGGGCCCGCATCAGTATTTTTTTTTTAGGCTGACTTCACACCCGATTGTTTTTTTCTTCCGCTTTTGCATTAAAAAAAATTGGAAGAAAAAGGCATGACCATGAAATCCTATAGAACTCTTAACGCTGATCCGCTGCAGGTCCACTGCATTTTGTAAAATCCTGCTTGCTGCATTTTTGGTGCAGTAAAAAATGCACTCCCCCAACAAAATGAATAGAAAATGTGGCAAAAAATGCATTACAAAAAAACAAGTGATGCCATTTTTGATGTGGCGTTTGAGTCACATGTCCTGTGAAAAATTAACTGCAAAAGCAGTAAAAATGCATTTACGTTTTTTACTACAGATCAGTGTGAAAGTAGTCTTAAAGTTTTTTTTATTGCTTCAAAAAAAAAAAAAAAAAACCTAACCTAATAAAGCCCACAGCACTTGAAGTTCAGAGCCAGGAATAGGATGAGGCGTCACTGCAGTGAAGATTTCTACAGGATCCAGCTACTTGCACATAAGTGGGACATTCTTCATTACAGGTAAGTTAGCTCACTAAAGAGATATCTATCTATATCTTCAGCTTTATAATAGATACAAAAGTTACAGGATGTCTACAATAAGATCCATACTAAATATACAGAATAAAAACAAATACATACTCTGGACCTTTTTTTTTCTATTAACATCTGGAGGTTAAAGGGCTGTATATCAAAAAATGTAGAGGGCCAACCAATGTCAATTACAGTTATTAAGAAGGACTGTCCGAGACATGGAGCGAAGTAAGGGACATGTAAGGGTCATACAGATTACTTTTCACACGCTCATCATGCCACCCACTTAGCATTTTCTTAACACTCTTTTACAAGCAGCAATCCAGAAAGTATTCAGTGGTGCATCTTGAAATTCATTCTCTAGAGATGACTGACAGGCCACGGAAGGAGGATAATGCTTTGGACTCTATACTCAATGAAGCATATGTTTTCAATTAGTGGATTGCACTCATAGCATACAGAACATGCCACTTTCACAGAGGTCTGATAGGAGTTACTGCTGGGCACTCCCTTACTATTATACCAATGCTTTCCTTAACCTGCATTAAGTGTGATCCAGGACTTAGATTCCCCAGTCAGTAAACACATCTGTAGATTATGGTTTGGTCTTCAATAATAATGAACCCATGCTCAAATGCTGACCTAAAGCTCGTAAAGTCTTGTCAGGATAGCTAAAAAAGGGCTCCAAATTTCTGTCAGTGGTGGGGCCACATATCTGAAGGTCTTGGCACCTGGTCACATGACCTCCGCTGAACAGAAAGAATTTCCTTATTTTTCAAAGTGATTATGGGGAAAAAATAAATAAATAAAAGTGACATTAAAGTCATTTTTTGGCTACGTAAGCTGCTAGCAGAAGAACTGACATGCTCTTGATGTTTTTAAAATGTCTCTTTTCCTCATACTGACGCCCAGACCGCTCTGCATGACTACGGGTACTTGGGTGTCCCCTGTGCCAGCCGGAATCTCTGGAGTCCAGCTGGAGCCTCCACTACTTGATAGCACCCGTTTAAAACTTTACAGAGATATAAATATTTTACAACCTTCTAAGGATCTCCCTATCTTCAGTGCGCAGAGAAGGCCTTTAGCAAGTTGCAGGGAAGGTGCCTGCAGCTGCAAACTGCTGTCTTCCACTATTTCCTCTAAATGCAATATCTTAGACATATGACATCATCTAATACATAGCCTGGCAAACACATGAGCAGTAGAAGACATCATGTGCAGGTCCTGAGCTGACAAAGATCAAGGTGGGACAGAGGTGGGCAGGGAACATCTTAATATACACTACATTGCCAAAAGTATTGGGACACCCCTCCAAATCATTGTATTCAGGTGTTCCAATCACCTCCATAGCTACAGGTTTATAAAATCATCACCTAGGCATGCAAGCTGCTTCTACAAACATTTGTGAAAGAATGGGTCACTCTCAAGAGCTCAGTGAATTCAAGCGTGGTACAGTGATAGGTTGCCACCTGTGCAATAAGTCCATCTGTGAAATTTCCTTGCTACTAAATATTCCACGGTCAACTGTTAGTGATATTATAACAAAGTGGAAATAAATGGGAACAGCAGAAATGCAGCCACGAAGTGGTAGGCCATGTAAAATGACAGAGCGGGGTCAGTGTATGCTGAAGCGCACAGTGCGCAGAAGTCGCCAACTGTCTGCAGAGTCAATAGCTAAAGTCCTCCAAACTTTGTGTGGCCTTCAGATTAGCACAACAGTGCACAGAGAGCTTCATGGAATGGGTTTCCATGGCCGAGCAGCTGCATCCAAGCCTTATATCACAAAGTGCAATGCAAAGCGTCGGATGCAGTGGTGTAAAGCACACTGCCACTGAACTCTAGAGCAGTGGAGACGTGTTCTTTGGAGTAACCAATCACACTTCTTTGTCTGGAAATGCGATGGACGTGTCTGGGTTTGGTGGTTGCCAGAACGGTAGTTGCCTGACTGCATTGTGCCAAGTGTAAAGTTTGGTGGAGGGGGGATTATGGTGTGGAGTTGTTTTTCAAGGGACATTTTGAACAATTTCTTGCTCTCAACTTTGTGGGAACAGTTTGGGGATGGCCCCTTCTTGTTCCAACTTGACTGTGCACCAGTGCACAAAGCAAGGTTCAAAAAGACATGGATGAGCGAGTTTGGGGTGGAGGAACTTGACTGGCCTGCACAGAATCCTGACCTCAACCCGATAGAACACCTTTGGGGTGAATTAGAGCAGAGACTGCGAGCCAGGCCTTCTCATCTGACATCAGTGCCTGACCTCCCTCACAAATGCACTTCTGGACGAATGGTCAAACATTCCCATAGACACACTCCTAAACCTTGTGGACAGCCTTCCCAGAAGAGTTGAAGCTGTTATAGCTGCAAAGGGTGGGCCAACTCAATATTGAACCCTATGGACTAAGGCTGGGATGCCATTACAGTTCATGTGTGTGTAAAGGCAGGCATCTCAATACTTTTGGCAATATAATGTATATCTACAAATATCCATGACCTGTGGGGGGGGTGGGGGTGTGTGTGTGCATAGACATTTATATTTAGGGCCCGTTCCCTGCACTGCATGTGACTGCCGTCAGCCACCCCAGAGGATTCAGAGCTGACACTCAATTGATACTCCTTCAATACTCATGTGACTGCATATAGAGAGGGGAGGGACAGAGGAATTGGGTCAGAGTTCCTAGACACTCCCAGAAGAAGGGAAGTTGGCTGTGCTAGGAAATTGACTTGCCTGGAAATATCACATTTGCTATCAAATTCAGAGACACAATGCAAGTCGATATAAAATCATTTCTAAAAAAAAAAAAAGAAAAAAACACTATATAGTAGTCATTTAGACATGCTGGCAAGCTAACTGTCTCCTATCTAAATTGGCCCTTGTATATGTATGTATGAGAGATAGGGACCTTACATTGTAAGCTCTTTAAAGGCAGAGATTGATGTGAATGTACAGTATGTAAAGTGCTAAGTAAATTTAAAGCACAACATAAATGCCTGTAAAAAAATACATTTAAAATGCTTGATTATTTTGTGTTTTTAACTGCAATTTTCTGAGATGGCAACAGAGCATCTATAAAGTGGTACTTGCATATCTATACAATAACCCCTTATCATCTAGCTGCCCTGCTAGATTAAAATTAACCAAGAAAAGATAAAGTTACATACCTTAGACCACCAATTTATGGCTCATTAGTCTAGGTGTTGGTCTGCCTCTTGGGAAAGCAAACAATCCTAAATTTTGTGAGAATGTGCTCCCGTAGCCCTCCCACGATCTCCTTTCTTTCTTAAACAAACAAACATGTCATACTTATCTGCTATGTGCAATGGGTTTGCACAGAGCAGCTCCAATCCTTCTGGAGTTCCCCACCAGCGCTCTGTCACAATATTCTAAAACGCACGTTCTTGTAAATGGCTCTTAGATGTCAGTGGGTGCTGCAGCGATAACCAGCTGGAAACTGTCGACATTCGAAGTAGAAAATACACTTAGGTCCATATATATTTGGACACAGGAACAATTTTAGATTTATTCAGGTATTTACCAAAACATATTCAAGCTATAGTTATATAATGGACATGGGCTGAAAGTGCACACTCAGCTTTAATTTGAGGGTATTTACATCCAAATCAGGTGAACGGTGTAGGAATTACAACAGTTTGCATATGTGCCTCCCACTTGTTAAGGGACCAAAAGTAATGGGACAGAATAATAATCATAAATCAAACTTTCACTTAATACTTGGTTGCAAATCCTTTGCAGTCAATTACAGCCTGAAGTCTGGAACGCATAGACATCACCAGACGCTGGGTTTCATCCCTGGTGATGCTCTGCCAGGCCTCCACTGCAACTGTCTTCAGTTCCTGCTTGTTCTTGGGGCATTTTCCCTTCAGTTTTGTCTTCAGCAAGTGAAATGCATGCTCAATCGGATTCAGGTCAGGTGATTGACTTGGCCATTGCATGACATTCCACTTCTTTCCCTTAAAAAACTCTTTGGTTGCTTTTGCTGTATGCTTTGGGTCATTGTCCATCTGCACTGGGAAGCGGCGTCCAATGAGTTGTGAAGCATTTGGCTGAGTATGAGCAGAGAATATTGCCCAAAACACTTCAGATTTCATCCTGCTGCTTTTGCCAGCAGTCACATCATCAATAAATACAAGAGAACCAGTTCCATTGGCAGCCATACATGCCCACGCCATGACACTACCACCACCAGGCTTCACTGATGAGGTGGTATGCTTAGGATCATGAGCAGTTCCTTTCCTTCTCCATACTCTTCTCTTCCCATCACTCTGGTACAAGTTGATCTTGGTCTCATCTGTCCATAGGATGTTGTTCCAGAACTGTGAAGGCTTTTTTAGATGTCGTTTGGCAAGCTCTAATCTGGCCTTCCTGTTTTTGAGGCTCACCAATGGTTTACATCTTGTGGTGAACCCTCTGTATTCACTCTGGTGAAGTCTTCTCTTGATTGTTGACTTTTACACACATACACCTACCTCCTGGAGAGTGTTCTTGATCTGACCAACTGTTGTGAAGGGTGTTTTCTTCACCAGGGAAAGAATTCTTCGGTCATCCACCACAGTTGTTTTCTGTGGTCTTCCGGGTCTTTTGGTGTTGCTGAGCTCACTGGTGCGTTCCTTCTTTTTAAGGATGTTCCAAACAGTTGTTTTGGCCACGCCTAATGTTTTTGCTATCTCTCTGATGGGTTTGTTTTGTTTTTTCAGCCTAATGATGGCTTGCTTCACTGATAGTGACAGCTCTTTGGATCTCATCTTGAGAGTTGACAGCAACAGATTCCAAATGCAAATAGCACACTTGAAATGAACTCTGGACCTTTTATCTGATCATTGTAATTGGGATAATGAGGGAATAACACACACCTGGCCATGGAACAGCTGAGAAGCCAATTGTCCCATTACTTTTGGTCCCTTAACAAGTGGGAGGCACATATGCAAACTGTTGTAATTCCTACACCGTTCACCTGATTTGGATGTAAATACCCTCAAATTAAAGCTGACAGTCTGCAGTTAAAGCACATCTTGTTTGATTCATTTCAAATCCATTGTGGTGGTGTATAGAGCCAAAAATGATAGAATTGTGTTGATAGCCCAATATTTATGGACCTGACTGTACATCCAAATTGGAGGAAGGGTTTAGGAATTACAGCTCTTAAGAGTAGCCATCCCTCCTTTTCAAGGAACCAAAAGTAATTGGACAATTGAATCAAAAGCTGTTTCATGGAAAGGTGTGGGCTACTCCATTATTTCTTCATCAATTAAGCAAGTAAAAGGTCTGGAGTTGATTCTAAGTGTGGTATCTGCATTTGGAATCTATTGCTGTGAACCTACATTATGCGTTCAAAGAAGCTGTCCATGCAAGCAGCAACATTAGGAGTGGCCAAATCAACAGTTTGGTACATTCTGAGGAAAGAACAACGCACTGGTGAGCTCAGCAACATAAGAAGGCATGGACGTCCACGGAAGACAACAGTGGTGGATGGTTGCAGGATCCTTTCTATAGAAAAGGAAAACCCATACACAAAATCCAGACAAGTGAAGGAGCTTTTGAAGGAAAAGAAGTGGAATAATCTGCAATGGTCGAGTCAATCACCTGATCTCAACCCAATTGAGCATGCATTTCACTTGCTGAAGGCAAAACTAAAGACAGCAAGACCCACAAAGAACAACTGAAGACAGCTGCAGTTAGAGCCTGGCAAAGCATCAGAAAGGAAGAAACCCAGTCTTTGGTAATGTCCATGGGTTCCAGACTTCAGGCAGTCATTGCTAGTAAAAGGATTCTCAACAAAATATTAAAAATTAACATTTTACTTATGATTATATTCAATTGTCCAATTACATTTGAACCCCTGAAAATGGAGGGACAGTGTATAAAAATGGTTGCAGTTCCTAAAATTTGTACTTGATATTTATGTTCAACCCCTTGCATTAAAGCTGAAAGTTTGCACTTCAAATTCATTTGGATTGTTACATTTTAATTTATTCTGGTGGCATACAGAACCAAAAGTATGAAAAATGTGCCTGTGTCCAAATATATATGGACCTAATTGTATGTCACCAGCATACCAGAGTCACCAAACGGGTCCAAAGCTTTATTCAGCAGTCACATAATATTTACAGAAGCAAACAGGTCAGGGATGTTGAATTCCTATCGCCCGACACCTGGGACATGTAGTTCCGGGAGCCCTGCAAGTAGTTTTTTTTCCTCCTTTAGCCCTGCTGCGGGCAAGCAGCAGGCTCACCTGTCAAGTGAAGCAATTGTTTTTTTAAGTATGTCCTTTTTTCACTATTCCAACATTATTTATAGTATCTTGGGGGATATTATACAGCTTACTATAATATTCCTTAAATACTCTAGCAATATCTTTAGCTGAGTGGACCAATTCACCCTTGGGGTTTCTTATTTTTTCTATGTAATTCCTGTTTTTCTTTTTCCTTAATGCTTTCATTAAGTACTTTCCCAGCCTATCTCCCCATCTGTACCTTTTGCTTATTACTTTAGTAAAGACTCTCCTTTTTTCCTCTTCCATCAAGGTCTCTAGCTCTTCTTTCTTTTTTATTACCTTCTGCATTATCTCATTAGATATTTTACTTTTATGCACCTGTTCAAGATCAAATATTTCCTTTAGAAGCCCACTAATTTTTTTCCCCCCCTCTTTTTTCTTTTTTGCCCCCATTGCAATAAGAAATCCTCTGATGTAAGCCTTATGGGCCTCCCACACTGTACGCACCGACACGTCTCCTGTATCA